ACATAAGGACAAGTTCAGGGGTCTTAGGAAGGATCTTAGTCTTGACTCATGAGGGATGTGCCCTGCCCAGTCCACACCTTCCTTTATCTTATCTATCATGCCCTCTCTCTGGGTGTATCAACTCTAGGTTCCCCTGTGGGATCAGCTGTGAGACACCTGCTGCAGCTCTGTGGGTGACTGAGCTATGTCCTAGAGTAGCAAACCATTTCTCTCTCTGTGCTGAGACCTCATCCTGGTTTCTGATCCGAAGACAAGCAAACAGGGTGTATCTTGAGGAAGCAGTATAACAAACACACTCACAGGGAAAACCTCAGATGGATTGCAGCATAGATAATCTGCTAAATGGGAGGGAGGCAGCTCCTCCCATCAGCAGTGCTCAGGGGACTCGGGCTCAAGGATCTTTAAACTTTGACCTTGACCCCAGGCCTTGAGGTCTCATTGCTTCCTTTTGAAAAACCCAACTTTATTATAAGAAAACTGCTAGGAAGTGGTCCAAGTGACTGGATCCCTGCCACCCACCAGATAATATTCCCAGCTCCCCCAGCTTAGGCTTGGTCCCTCACTGGCTGTGCTGGTCATATGGGGCATCTGGGGACTGGAGCAGTAGTTGGAAGATCTGTCTCTCACAGGTTCTAAAATTCTGACTTTCAAAATGAATAAAGCATTCCATAAAACTAAAAAAGAAAAGAAAACTGCTAGAAGGCAGGAGTCCTTTGCAGCTCTGTTGCCTTTCTGATGAAATCTTGGACCTTCTTTTCAATATGCACTGCTTCCTGCCTGGTTATTGAGGGCTGCTTTTTCTTATTTTTTAAATATATATATATATTACCATATATTATTTTTATAAATATATAATATATTAATAATATAATATTTATTATTTAATATTGTTATATATGTAAAGATATCTATTTTATATATATTTGCCTTTTAGATTTTTTTTAAGATTGATTTTATTTTTTTTGGAAAGGCGGATATACAGAGAGGAGAGACAGAGAGGAAGATATTCCGTCCGATGATTCACTCCCCAAGTAAGCGCAACGGCCAATGCTATGCCGATCCGAAGCCAGGAGCCTCTTCGGGGTCTCCCACACGGGTGCAGGGTCCCAAAGCTTTGGGCTGTCCTTGACTGCTTTCCCGAGCCACAGGCAGGGAGCTGGAAGGGAAGCAGGGCTGCCAGAATTAGAACCGGCTCCCATATGTGATCCCGGGAGTGCAAGGCGAGGACCTTAACCACTGCGCCACCGCGCCAGGCCCTAATTTGTCTTTTTTAAAGATTTATTTTTATTGGAAAGTCATATTCACAGAGAGAAGAAGATACAGAGAAGATTTTCCATTTTCTGGTTCACTCCTCAAGTGGCCATAGCAGCTAGACTAAAGTTGACTTGAAACCAGGAGCCAAGAGCTTTTTCCAGGCCTTCCATGTGGGTTCAGGATCCCAGGGCTTTGGGCCATCCTCTAATGCTTTCCGAGGCCACAAACAGGGAACTGGACAGAAAGTAGAGCAGACAGGACACAAACCTGTTCCATATGCGATCCCAACATGTACAAGACAAGGATTTGGCCACTGAGCTATCACACCAGGACTATTATTATTATTTTTTTAAAGATTTATTTTTATTATTTTTTTATTGGAAAGGCGGATATACAGACAGGAGAGACAGAGAGGAAGATCTTCCGTCCGATGATTCACTCCCCAAGTGAGCGCAACGGCCGATACTATGCCAATCCGAAGCCAGGAGCCTCTTCCGGGTCTCCCACGCAGGTGCAGGGTCCCAAAGCTTTGGGCCGTCCTCGACTGCCTTCCCGGGCCACAGGCAGAGAGCTGGAAGGGAAGCGGGGCTGCTGGGATTAGAACCGGTGCCCATATGGGATCCTGGGCGTGCAAGGCGAGGACCTTAACCACTTGCGCCACCGCGCTGGGCCCTATTATTATTATTTTTTAAAGATTTATTTATTTTCATCGGGAAGGCAGATTTCTAGAGAGAAGGAGAGACAAAGACCTTCCATCCGCTTATTTATTCCCCAAACGGCTGTTCTGGCCAGAGCTGAGCTGATCCAAAGCCAGGAACCAAGTGCTTCTTGTGGGTCTCCCACACGAGTGTAGTCTTGAGGACTTAAGCCATCCTTCATTGCTTTCCCAGGCCATAAGCAGAGAGCTGGATGGCAAGTGTAACAGCTGGGACATGAACCAAACAATATCCATATGGGAAACGAACACTTAGAGGTGGAGAATTAACCAGTGAGCCAACACACCAGTCCCACCCAAACTGAGGGTGGCTTCTTCTTTTTAAATAAGTTCATTTTATTTTTGATGATGTTAAAATAGTTGAGAAGAATGTATGCCCATGTGGACTCCTGATTAAGGTGGGAAGGGTCAAGGAATGGGGAAAGTGGAAGAGACAATTACTTCCATTTTTTTTTTCTTGTATCTCAGGGAAGAGGAGAGAAACAGAGAGAAGGCAGCTCCCAGCAGCCTAGCTACATCAATACTTGGGGATGGGGAACAACCACTTGATGTCATCCAAGATCCCTGTATGAAGCATGTTCTGAGGGTTCTGCTTAAATGGTTTCGGTAGTTCTAAGATACTGTTGGTTTCATTAATCCTTCCAAGGCCCATTGGCTGACACAGTCTACCTAAGAGGTTCCACTTACCCAAATACTTGCTGTCAACGCTTGCCGTGGAGAAGTGTCCAGTTTGTTCTGCCCTCCACCCTCTGCCATAGTACTAGATACCCTTTCCAGGTCTCAATGAGCTGTCATGTCCCCCGTGTACATTCAGATATGCCTTCCACTGCTCAAGCTTCAGCAACCAAGAAGGCCTAGTTCTGACACATGCACTCCACAGTCAGACCACACACATCCTGTGATTTTTCCCTATCCCATGGTTGGAGTTTTGATCCAGGGGGTCCAGTTGATTAGGGGGGGGGGCAGGGGAGTCCCCAAAGAAACCTCGGCTGAGGTGACCCCAGACCTGACTCCTGTGTGCCAGCCGGTGTGGAATTTGGCTCAGTCCATCACCCATGCCAGCCTACACACACACACACACACACACACACACACACACTGGTAGTTGCAGTTTTCCAGTCAGTTATGCCGTCAGCCCCAACTCATATGCAAACCTATGGATGCTGCAGCCCAGTTTAACCCTTCCTACCACACATTCAACCCTCACACACACCACTGGGGACTGGAGCTAGTCAGCACAACCTCCGAAAGGCTCAACCAGGCCTGCTCGCAGCCCTGGTTCCTGCAGCAGACTGGTCCAGCCTGTGTCACATCCCATTCAGCTTTTGTACAAACCAAAGGATGTTGCAGCCTAGCTCAGCCTAACTGACCCCAGTATCCAACCACACTTAAACCCTGTTAGGAACTAATGCTTGTGCAGCCAGGCCCACCTCCAGCCCTGGTTCTCATGCTCACTGGTGGGAGCTACAATCCATTAGAAAAGCCCGGAAGATAGGGGTGGGTGGCAAGAATTCTACCACTGAGTCACCAATGCAGGGGGCTTCTTTTTTATTTTTTTGGTTTTTTTTTTAAGATTTATTTATTTTTATTGGAAAGAAGGATTTACAGAGAGGAGGAGAAACAGAGAGGAAGATCTTCTGTCTGCTGATTCACTCCCCAAGTGGCTGCAAGGGCCAGAGCTGAGCCAGTCCGAAGCCAGGAGCCAGAAATTTCTTCCAGGTCTCCCAAGCAAGTGCAAGGTCCCAAGGTCTTGGGCCATCCTTGACTGCTTTCCCAGGCCACAAGCAGGGAGCTGGACAGGGAGCAGGGCTTCCCAAATTAGAACTAGTACCCATGTGGGATCCCTGTGCGTGCAAGGCAAGGACTTTAGCCGCTAGGCTACTGCGCTGAGCCCTTTTTTAAAAAATTAAGATTTATGTAATTGAAAGTCTGAGTTACGCAGAGAGGGTGGGGCAGGGAGAGCCAGCTTCCATCTCTTGATTCAGTTCCTAGATGGCTGAAATGGCCAGGACTGCACCAGGAGCTTAGGGTCTCCCATATGAGGGTCAGGGGCCCAAACACTGGGGTCTTCTGCTGCTGCTTTTCCAACGTCATGCATTATCAACAACCTAGATCCGAAGTGGAACAGCTGGCACTCAAACCGACATTCTAGGCCTTAATGCCACTCAGCCCCAAATCCAGACGTCTTGAGTGTTAGGGCAAATACCTACCCCAGAAATGCCATTTTTATATGACTACTGGTATGCTTTGTACTGTTTTAGGACACAGTTTTACATGGAGTTGTAGTTGGTCTATCCCAGGAAGCAAGTGGGATCCCCCACCCTCTCTCACAGGCTCCAGGAAAATGACGGCATCATTTGCATCGGGATGCAGACATGACGTCGGCTGTCTGTGCTAAGCGTAAAAGGGCCGCATATTCTCTGCGCACTTGTCTGGGAGAAGGGTAGGGGCGGGGGAAGAGATCTGGATGGGATCTGAATCAGGTTGGAGAGGACTGAGGTAGCAGTGGGAGGGGCATCACCAAGGTTCAAAGCCTTCAGGCCAAGCATCCCTGAATTTTTCAGGAGGTGGGGTTTGTGATGCTGTATTTTTAAAATGACATCTGTACCTTCTGAGAAGCAAACATAGAGGCCCGAAACCTAGGCGCCACCTTCGCTCCAAAACGCAGCACAGGTAGAAGAAGGAGGCAGGTGTTGCCCAACGTTGGGACTCGGGGGTGGGGAGGAGGGGCTGTCAGGGTCCTAGCCTCCAGCCCGCTCTCTGTTCCGCACCCTGTCCCTTCCATTTCCCTGAGCTTGTCGCAGCCTTAGGCTTTCCACCTCTCGGCTACTCACATACATTAGCCCGTGTTGCCCCCAGCCCTGCGTTCTTCCAGCACCGCTCCCCCGCCTCCTCCTTCCCGACCGCACCCTCCCCCGGACAGGCCACCTGGGCAGCATCCCGTGGCGCCCAGCCTTCCGCAATCGGACACAGGCCCCGCGAGCGAGCAGGGCAAGGCGGGCGTGCACGGCACGGGGCTTTATTGCCTCACCGCGGCTGCAGCGCGCGGCTCGCCCCGGAGCGCCGCGCCGGCAGCAGGTTGGCGTTTACGCGTCCCTTGGCAGATGGGCGCTGCGGCCGCCGGGCTGCCCATGGGCTCGAGCTGCTGCTCCAACACGTGCAGGCGCAGCGTAGTCTCCGTCAGCATGTCCAGGAGCACTTCCTGCTGCAGTTTCAAGTAGTTGTTCTCCTCCTCCAGTGCCTGGCTCCGGACCCGCTGCACCTGCGCCTTCCAGCCCGCCAGAGCTGACGAGGGCAGCGGTGCCCGCGGTCCCCGCAGCGAGCCCTCGGCTGTCCAGCGGCCGCCGCGGAACACATAGGCCTCGCCACTGAGGCACATGCGTGGTGCTCCGTAGCTGAGGCCTAGCTCGGCCTGGCGTGTGCGGTGGTCCAGCAGGTAGAAAGTGGACATGGAGGAGATGCGGCGCAGTGGGGGGCGCCGAGGCGAGAATCTCCGGGAGAAGTTGTCGGCCCAGAACTGCCGCAGTTGCTCCCACAGGCGGCTGGCGTGGCTCGTGGCCAGGCACTGGAAGGCCGCCAGGGCGAGGGCCTGATGGACCACTAGTGTCTGGCTTACAAGTACCCACAAGGGAGCCGCAGGATCCTAAATAGTGAAGGCGGGCCAGGGCCACTGTCAGAGGAGCAGTGATCAAGATGAGCATCCTGCTCCGGGCTGGCCACCCCAGCATACAGCTGCCCTTGACTCTTCCCCAAAGATGACCCCACAAGGAATCTCTGGGCATGGACCTGCCTAGCAGGGCCCTGTCTCTCTGAGCTGGCCTGGGGTGGAAGAAAAGGGACTGGCAGCTTGGGCTTCAAAAAGGAGCCACTTTGCTAGGTCGATGGGAGCCAGCTGATGGGACACTTCCTGAGGTTCTTGTTGCCGGGAACAACAGAAAGGGAGGCTTGGAGCTGGGCCAGGACTCAGAGGGAGATGCTGTGTAGGTTGGGGTATTCTAATTAGACTTGGTTGGGGGGGGGCGGGGATGAGGCCGGGGGTCAGAGTTAGAGCTAGGCTCTGTACCTAAGCGTGCCTGCTCATAAGATCCAGTTGTAGAGCTAGAGCCGGCACTGTAAACATGTCCTGAACCAGGAGTGCCCTGTGCCTCCCACCACCACTCTGCCAGCTGGGAAGACAGAAGTGAGCCCAGGGCACAGTACTGGGTGCCAGGCCTAGACTGGCACTCAGGGCTGCAGGTAAAAGGGTCTGTGCACAGGAAACAAGAGTTTGTCTGTTCTAAGCAGACTGTACCCTGGAGAAATCTGCAGCCCAGATAACAGGCAGGTCCTGTTTAGCTTTGCTTTTTCCATAGCATGTTGTCACCTTTTCCTCCCTCCTCCTTCGGCCCCATGGAGTGGGAAAGGAGAGCCAGGGCCCCCTCTGTTGTGCTCTCAGTTAACTCAGCACCTGCTTCTGTCCTCTTCCACCTCTCTGGCTCAGGGAGGTACTCCTTCAAGCCCCACATCCAGACCCACCCTTCAGGTTGCCCCTTCCCAAGAACCTCTCACCTGGAAGACGTGGTGGAGGTGCCAAGCTGCCGTCCCAGACCAGGACCCCATCTCTGAGCTGCTCAATCCCTTGTGTATCTGCTATGACTCATAATGCCTGCTGGCCAGGCCAGCTCAAGACAGGCAAGAGCTGTAAAACAGGCCCTGGGTTGGCCCCTGCCCCCACTCTGCATTCCCTGCATGTGTGCCGGTTGTAAGTCCTCTTGGGGGAGAGTGACGGACATGCTTCCCTGCTGAGCTGTCAGGCTTTTTTTTTTTTAAGACTTATTTTTTTTTTTTAATTGGAAAGTCAGATATACAGAGAGGGGGAAAAACAGAGAGGAAAATCTTCTGTTCCATGATTCACTCCCAAAAGTGACCGCAATGGCTGGCACTGTGCTGATCTGAAGCCAGGAGCCAGGAACCTCCTCCAGGTCTCCCACGTGGGTGCAGGGTCTCAAGGCTTTGGGCTGTCCTCAACTGCTTTCCCAGGCCACAAGCAGGGAGCTGGATGGGAAGTGGAGCTGCCGGGATTAGAACTGGCACCCATATGGGACCCCAGGGCATTCAAGTTGAGGACTTTAGCCACTAGGCCACCACGCTGGGCCCAAGCTCTCAGTCTTGACAAGGAGGGGTGTCCTGAGCTGGCAGGCATGACTCCTCAGGGTTGCACTAGAAGCAGAGCCTGTGCTGGTAGTTCTTGACTGAGTGTACCATGAAGTGGTCTCAGGAAGGCATGAGGGCAGCAGGGCAAGCTAGGAACTCCCAGAGAGGGCCCCTGCAGGGTGGGAAGCCCTCTTTTGTTTTCTCCCTCCCTTCCACACCCCTTCAAGTTCTGTTCCCTCTTGGCAAGAACAGCTGTGAGCTCTCAGCTGCCACTGAACAGCATCCATGGGCTGGGGACCTGCCAGCAGTGGGATTCTGGGATGTAGGGCTCATAGCACAGGCAGGGAAGGAAAGGAATAGAGAGTGAAAAATGACAGGAAATAGCTAAGTGGGTAAGAGCTTCTAGCAGTGATAATGTGCAGTAAGGAAAACACAGGGAGATACAGAAAGTGACTTTTGGACAGGAGGAGGGTTGGGACAGATCCAAGCATGGTACTCAGAAGGCACTTGACATTTACACCAAGACCTGAATCATGAGGAGTCCCGAGCCCCATGATGTTCTGGGGCCTAGAGGCTGGAAGGCGCTGTGAAAGACAAGCACCAAGTTTGAGTCAGTGGTAGGAAACAAAAGCAGCCCCACCTGCCAAGCTCACCTGTTGTCTACCATCTCCTGAACATGACATTCCAGATCACCAGGGCCACTTTCAGGGCATCTATATGGATCCATGAATCCACACTCTGTTCAGGGCACCCACGTGGGTGAAGGGACCCAAGCACTTATGTGATCATCTACAGCTTTTCCAGGGAACTGTATCAGAAGTGGAGCAGCTAAAACCAGAACTGGCATCCATACAGAATGCCTGTGTTGCAAGCAGTAGCTTAACCCCTCTTTTTGTTGAGGTATAGTTGAAAAATCAACCATGTAAGGGCCAGCATCATAACATAGTAAGCTAAGCTCTGCCAGTGGCCCTGGCATCATGGCTTCAAATCAACTCAGCTCTGGCTAGCAGGGTCATCTGGAGAATAAACCAGACTATAGAAAATCTCTGTCTTTCTGTCCTTCTCTCTAGAACTTTACCTTTCAAATAAAAAGAAGATAATATTTTGAAAAAAATCAAACATATATTTGGGGCTGGCATGGTGGCCTAGCAGCTAAAGTCCTCAGCTTGAATGCACCAGGATCCCATATGGGTGCCGGTTCTAAGCCCAGTGGCCCTCCTTCCCATCCAGCTCCCTGCTTGTGCTCTGGGAAAGCAGTCAGGGACGGCTCAAAACCTTGGGACCCTTCATCCACATGGGAGACCCAGAAGAGTTCCTGGCTTTGGGTCAGCGCAGCGCCGGCCGTTGTGGTCACTTGGAGAGTGAATCATCGGATGGAAGATCTTCCTCTCTGTCTCTCCTTCTCTCTATATATATCTGACTTTGCAATAAAAATAAATAAATTAAACATATATTTAAAATGTACAATTTTGTATGTTATGATTGTTCAGTGAAATCGTTCTCTAAATCAAGATATGAAAGGATCCAATATCTCCTGTCTTCTGTGGTCTCATCACTGTGTATTAGCTTGCATTTTTAATAAGGATTTATTTTATTTATTTGAAAGACAGAGTGACAGGGGAAAAAGTCAGAGATCTCGCATCTGGTGATTCTTTCCCTAAATGCTGCAATGACTGTAGCTGGCCAGGCCAAGCCAGAGCCAGGAGCTTCTTCTGGGTTTCCCAGGTAGATTCAGGCGCTCAAGCTCTTTGTTTGTTTGTTTGTTTTTATTGGAAAGGCAGATATACAGAGAAGAAGAGAAACAGACAGGAAGATCTTCCGTCTGCCGGTTAACTCCCTAAGTGGCCACAACAGCTGGACCTGAGCCGATCTGAAGCCAGAACCAGGAGCTTCTTCCAGGTCTCCCATGTGGGTACAGGGTCCCAAAGCTTTGGGCCACCATCTTCTGCTTTCCCAGGCCACAAGCAGGGAACTGGGTGGGAACTAGAGAGATGCCTCTTGAATCGGCGTCCATAGGGGATGCCTGCTCTGCAGACAACAGCTTAATTGTAGCATCATGACACAGGCCTCTTAGTTTGTATTTTCTTTTTTTTTTTTTAAGTTTTATTGTATTTTTATTGCAAAGTCAGATATACAGAGAGGAGGAGAGACGGAGAAGAAGATCCTCAGTCCAATGGTTCACTCCTCAAGTGACTGCAATGCTTGGTGCTGCGTCAAGCTAAAGCCAGAGCCAGGAACTTCCTCCGGGTCTCCCACACAGGTGCAGGGTCCCAAGGTTTTGGGCTGTCCTCGACTGCCCTTTCAGGCCACAAGCAGAGAACTGGATGCGAAGCAGAGCTGCCAGGATCAGAACCAGCATCCATATGGGATCCTGGCATAGTAGTCTTCATGTAGGCTTCATAGTATGGCTGGCAGGTGTGTGTGCCTTTTTCATGGTAGGAGAGTCGTACTACATCCCCATCAACCATGAATTGAAGTTTCTGTTCCTCCATGGCCCAAACAGCATGTGGTATGGTAACATTTTTAATTTTAGTTATTGCAGTCCTGTGGCTTTAATTTGCATTTTTTAACGGCTAGTGATATTGGGCATTCATAGTACACGCTTTGAATGGCTACTTGTTCCAGCCTTGGGCTAATTTGAAAGCTTGAATTATTTGTCTTATTTTAAGAAAATTTATATGGGGCCAGCACAACAGCTCAGTTTGGCTAATCCTCTATCTGCAAGTGCCAGCATTTCTTATGGGCACCAGTTTGTGTTCTGGTTGCTTCACTTCCCATCCAGATCCCTGCTTATGGCCTGGGAGAGCGCTGTAGGATGCCTTAAATCCTTGGGCCTCTGTACCCATGTGGGAGATCAAGATGAAAGTTCTTGGTGCATTGCTTCAGATCAGCTGAGTTCTGGACATTGTGGCCATTTGGCAAGCGAACCACAGGATAGAAGATCTTTCTATCCTTCTCTATGTAAATCTGCCTTTTTAATAGAAATATATTTTTCTTCTGAAGATTTTTAGAGGCAGAGTAGCAGAGAGAGAAACAGAACTTTCCATTCACTGGTCCACTCTCCGAATGTCTGCAGTGGTAGGGGCTGATCCAGGCCAAAGCTGATGCATGCTGAAGCCCGGCAAGCTCCATCCAGCCTCCCCCGGGAGTGTTAAGGCCCCATCTTCACTGCTTTCCCAGTACCTTAGTAGCTGGATCAGAACAGAACAACGGGGACTTGAACTCACACTGTGATGTGGGATGTAGACATTATAATGAAATGGCAGGTTAAATTGACCCTGAATTATCTGTCTTCAGAAATTTAGCACTTTAATGTTAGACAAAACTCCTTGGCAGGGAGGGAAGATGGGAGCGGAAGGGATAGGAATAGGCTGGTGTTCTCACATATCCTGTATTCATACCAGTTCAAGTTCCAGCTACTCTGTTTATAATCCAATTTCCTGCCAAAGTGCCTAGGAAGGCAATAGGAGTTGATGCAAGTGGAGACCCGGGCTTTGACCCGGCGCACTGGCAGCCATGGCAGCTGTGTGAGCAGTACATCAGTAGTAGACATGAGACATTTCCCTCTCTCACTTTCATTCTATTTTTCTAATAAACAAAAAAATTTTTTCAAAGTCCTTTGTCAGATATATTCTAGGGTCATGTTCCCCTAGTCTGTGGCTTGCTTTTTAGGGCACACATTTTTTTTTTTAAGATTTATTTTTATTATTTTTTCATTGGAAAGGCGGATATACAGACAGGAGAGACAGAGAGGAAGATCTTCCGTCCGATGATTCACTCCCCAAGTGAGCGCAAAGGGCCGATACTATGCCGATCCGAAGCCAGGAGCCTCTTCCGGGTCTCCCACGCGGGTGCAGGGTCCCAAAGCTTTGGGCTGTCCTCGACTGCTTTCCTGGGCCACAGGCAGGGAGCTGGATGGGAAGCAGGGCTGCCGAGATTAGAACCGGTGCCCATATGGGATCCCGGGCGTGCAAGGCGAGGACCTTAACCACTGCGCCACCGCGCCGGGCCCTAAGGCACACGTTTTAAATTCAGATTCAGCTCAATGTATTATTTTGTTTTCTTTTATAGGTCAGAACTTTGATGTTGTATTTGAGAACTGTTTACCGCACCCAAGGTAAATAAGATTTTCTCCTCTGTTTTCTTAGGCTCTATGTTGTTTTTTTTTTTTTTTTAACTTTACATTTAAGTTTATCTCCATTTTGAATTAATTTTTGTTTAATTATTTTCATACAGATGTCAGATTACTCAAAAGGCTAGCATCTTCCTGTCTGCTGGATACCGTTATATGATTGGTGTGTGAATCTGGAATTTCTGTTCTTTTTAAAAACTTTTTTAATGGTTTGTTTTATTTTTAATTGGAAAAGCAGATACACAGAGAGAAGGAGATACAGAAAGAAAGATCTTCTGTTCTTTGATTCACTCCCCAAGTGACTGCAATGGCCGGAGCTGAGCCAATCCAAAGC